AGAGAATGCACAGTGACCCCTCTTCGAGAGGAGATGGAGAACTACCATCCCCACCCCATCAGAGAGTGAGGCAGAGCACCCACCCCACACTTAGTGACTAATAGATCAGGGTAAGGCTCTTATTCAAGGATGAATGGGGGAAAGTCTAAGGGAAGACCTAAGAACACCCTATTGAGCAAGCGAGAGGGAACATCACCCCGCAGCCCGAGGACAGCACATCCCCGAAGAAACTCGCCAGCATCCTGAAGGAGCGTCAGGAAGTCGGTACCCAATGCACTGCCAGGAAACAGCCCAGGAAGCGGAGGCTGGAGGCCACGGAGCAGAAGTTGACTGGAAACCACAGGATGGGTTTCCACAGGATGAGGTGGAAAGGTGAATGGGTAAAATGAGGAAGGCTTCAAGTAAACTAGAATCACAACGACACAATTAAAATCCAGTCTAGAAATCACACTAAATGGAGACAGTGATACAGAACACCAGGGTGAGAAGCTCTCCTAGAGGAAAATCAGAAAGAGACAAATGAAGGGAGAGAAGATGATGGAGACAGAGAACAGAGGATGGAAATCCAAAGCAATCCGTATTCCTGAAGAAAAGGACAAAATAAACAGACTAAAAACAACAATCAAATTAATATAAAACTCTCACAAGCAACAATTGTCCAGTCTGCATTATCTTACCACGATGCAATTAAACTAGACTTTTAAGTAAATGTTTAATGAAAGAAGAAACTTGGAAATTAGCAGCAACAGTGATACCGTCCTAAGACAGGCTCTCAGGATCCTTGTCTCCTGACGTCAGGGCCTCTAGTGTCTGGGGTTATCATAAAAACTAATGCTGTCGTTTTCTAAGTTGTCCGTTTGGATATTTTCTTACTCTCTTATAACCTCTTGGGAACAGCACAGGAAGAGTCCCTGAACTTATGTAAAAAGTGTCTGTTTTGGACCAGTAAGAGCGTAGCTCACTCCTCCTGGCAAAGCACCGCCTGCGTTCCCTTCAGACGCTCAACACCCAATCAAGACAGCGTTGAGAGGGAGGAAGCGGAGACGCCTGAGGACACATGTCAGAGGAGAGGAGGAGTCGGCTGGTTCTGCACCATTGACCCTTGTCCTGGCCGACGCAATCCCCTTTTCTTCCCCGCTCTGTCTTAGTCAGCTGGGCGACCATAACAAAATTCCATAGACTGAGTGGGATGAACAACAGAATTTATTTTCTCACGGTTCTGGAGGTTAGAAGTCTAAGATTAAGGTGCCAGCAAATTTGGTTTCTGGGGAGAGCCCCCTTCCTGGCTTGCAGGCGGCTGCCTTCTTGCTGTGTCCTCAGAGGCCTCTCTGCCACGTGTGGGTGTACCTGGAGAGAGAGCTCTCTCTTCCTCTTCTTTTAAGGCCACCAATCCTATCGGATTAGTACCCCCACCTTTACGGCCTCATTTCACCTTAGTCACCTCCTAAAAGCCCTACCTCAAAATCCAGTTGCCTTGGGGGTCAGGGCTTCAACATACGAACTTAGGGGACACAATTCAGTCCATAGCACGCTCGTAAGCAAACAGCGAAATTACCTAATTTCTTAGAATGCTGGCTTGGACCAACTGCACCCTAATCCCATACAAAAAAAGATGTCCCATGAGAGCTGAGTGAAAACACAATGACTTTCTTCAAGGAGAAACCACAAGGGGCCTTGAGCTCTGCAGTGATGGCTGTCAGCTGACTCGGGGGCCCAGCATAGAGGCCCATTTCATTTACAGCCTCTCAACAGAGCTTAGGACAGAGTCAGACCCTGGGTCTTAATTCACACTCTCCATCATGTAAAACAGGGTAAAAAGACTGGGACAAACCCATAAGGCCAAACCATCGTGGTGGGAGGACCATCACGATGGTCAATTTCATAACAATGGGAAAAAGAGGTGAGTACAGTCCTGAATCCAGAAGGACCGTTCCTGACAGAAAATCAATTTACTTTTAAAGACATTCAACAAATTTATGAATAATTTCGCATTATTAAGACTGTGATTTTTATATGTGAATTTCTTCAACAAAATGAGAATGGTATATTTCAAACATTTATTTCTTTTAGTTTTTAAATTACAGTTTGAAGAAAAGATCGAGATGGGGATGGAAATGATCATTTGGCCAACTTCAAAATCCCTAAGGAATTTTGTCTAATTGTGAAGATTGAAGTGGGGCAAAATATTCTTCCTTTCTGAAGCAATTGGATACTCTTTCTTTTTTTTAAAAAAAGGCATTTTTTTTTTTTTTTTTAGAGCAGTTTTAGGTTCAGAGCAAAACTGAGAGGAAGGTACAGAGATTTGCCATATACCCTCTGCCCCTAGACATGCACAGCCTCTCCCACTATCAACATCCCCCACCAGATGGGCCATTTGTTACAAGTGACGAATCTACCTTGACACGTCAGTATCACCCAAAGTCCACGGTTTACATCAGGGTGCACTCTTGGTGGTAAACAGTCTACGGGTTTGGACAAATGTCTAATGACATTGACATATATCCATCATTATAATATTATGCAGAGTATTTTCACTGCCTTAAACATCCTCTGTGCTCTGCCTATTCATTCCACCCCGCACTCCAGAAATCTCTGATCTTTTTACTGTCTTCATAGTTTTGTCTTTTCCAGAATGTCATGTAGTTGGAATCATACAGTTTGAAGCCTTTTCAGATTGGCTTCTTTCACTTAGTCATATGCATTTAGGGTTCATCCTTGTTTCTTCATGGCTTGTTAGCTCATTTCTTTTTAATGCTGAATAATATTCCATTGTCTGGATGTACCACAGTTTACCCATTCACCTACTGAAGGACATCTTGGTTGCTTCCAAGTTTGGGGAATTACGAATAAAGCTGCTATAAACATCCTTGTGCATATTTTTGTGTGGATGTGTTTTCAACTCCTTTGGATCATATGGTAAGAGGATGTTTAGTTTTATAAGAAAGCACCAAACTGTCTTCCCAGGTGACTGCACCACTTTGCCTTCCCACCAGCAATCAGTGAGAGTTTCTGTTGCTCCCCATCCTTGCCAGCATTTGGTGTTGTTGGTGCTCCAGGTTTTGGACATTGTCTTAGGTGTTTAATGGTATCTCATTGTTGTTTTGATACTCCTTCTTTTAAGTGTTAATGTTACAGATAATTTTCAGAGGATGAGAAGACTAAAAGTCATCATTTGAGGGGCAAATATGGCTGATTTCATAAGACTTCTGAATGATTTGATGTCTACATTGAAAGAGTGAACTGAAGAGTCACACAGAAACAAACAAAAAAAGTTAAGGGTTTAAAAAATATTACACTCAGTCTCCAAGAGTTATTAAAGGTTTCTCATTGATAGTTTCATAAGTAAATATCAGCTAAGGATGATCATCATAATAGCTATTTGGATAAGTATTATTTTCAGTTAAAACTAAAAGCCAGAGTGATTATTAAGAGAATCAATGTTAATCTACTTGTTAAAGGAGAAGAAAAAGAAAAAGAAAATATCAGTGAACAAATGAAATAACAAACACAAAATCCAGCTGCTATAAAATTACTGAAAATCCCAGAGGGTCTCATTACCATCTGACATAAATTCTTACAGACTTATTTATTAACAAGGAACTGTTAAAACAAGCATTTATCTCCATCTGCAAATGAAATTATGATTTAGTGGAAAGGGGGGAAGAAATAGGGTGGGTTTTCAGGCTGGAAAGCTGTTTTTTTGGCGGTTTGTATTGTGTGTGTGTGCACACCCGTGAGATGACTGAACTGTGTAGATTAACCGGTGAGCCGTTGTTCCGTTGGAGTGGAAGCACGGGGTGGGGCAGGACTGGGTTAGGGTGCTGCTGTTTTCACAACGTGACTCATCTCTCAGGGCTCTAGTTTCTTTATCTGCAATGACGGGTTTGAACCCAGATGGTTCAGGGATATTTTAGGGAGCACAGAATCTCTGGTTATTCAGCAAGCCATTGCACCCCTGTTCCTTCACAAAGTGCTTGGCTCTCCTCCGTGGCAAACTTAATGAGAAGGCAGTAAAAGTGAAACTGCTGTTCTGGGATTCCGGGCATAGGCCCAACCATGCATGAGAACAGTGATGCTGCCAGGTCACTGGATTTGGAGGACTCAGGCATTTCTCTGTCAGAGTACAAGGCCAGAAGAGTCTAGAAGGTCCTCCAAGGCCTGCTGTGTTTGGTATGTGACACGCTTGTTCTCAACATCTCTATCTAATAATAGATCTTTGATTTTTTTTTTGAGGCCACAACATATAAATCTTAAAAAAAAACAAAAAACAAAAAACCAGAAAGACAGGGGTTTTCCTTGTACAAAAGTAAAATGTGTTTCACATTTTTTGTGTTTGCTTTGGTCCAAATTAAATAATCTGGTAAAGTCATTAAAGGAATTTAAGACCTTAAGTACTGTTGCTCATTGTTCCTTCTTTCTGGGTGAGCTTTACTACCTAAAAGAGCTTATTTTTAAAAGAATTCATTTGGGTACAGAAAATGTTGTAAACCTTTGCTGCTCATCGGCAGATTTTGTCAGATGTTCTTCTGTTCTTTGTCCGTCCCAGCTTCCTCCTTCTTGGATCTTGAAGGAATGTTTGGTGATCAGTCAGCTATTCCCCTCCTTTTTGGTCTAAGACAGCTTCTCAGAGACAAACCCAGGGACATAATAAGGATATTTTGTCTTTCAACTGTTGTGACTATTTTCGTAGGTTACAATCTAGCAAACACAGAGTTAGAGCTGAAACATGGAAAACCATCTTTCCCTCCCCAGTGGTGGAGATGACTTCCTGTCCTGGACCTGTGAATGGACTGTGGATGGGAAACAGAATTATCCTTGTCAAATTCCCAATTACGATGCAACATTTTGGCAATTATCCGCACATGAATATGCCTCATTTAAATCTTTCGGGTCATAATATATAATTGATGATAAACATTGTAACCAGGTGGTTAGGGATATGTGGAATGAGAGCTGCAGTTTATCTTCCTTGTACACTAACATTTTTTTTTTTCCTGCAGCTATGTGGTATCCTGATCCTGGCAGTAGCAATCTGGATACGAGTAAGCAAAGATGGTCAAGAGGTAAATAAATATAAGCTTCTCTGCTCTCAAAGTAGTTTATTTCTCTCATGATGAAAGTAATGACAGTAATAGTAATAAATATTTCTATAGCATTTTCTTTAACTGCCTCCTGTAATCATTTGTGCTGACATGTGATTTTATAATTTAATTCAATTTAATTAATCAAAATTAGTCACTATAGGCCTGGCACTGTGCCAGGCATGGATCGGTCCTTCTGCAGAACGGAGAAGGTGTTATTCCCCAAACAGGAAGATGGAAATGGAAGTGGAGGTGGGAAGGGGCCAAAGTGGAAATCAGACTCCTTCGTTAGTTGCGTAAGACCAGCCTGGAGTATAGCTGGAGGATACAGACCACCCTTCCTCCCCACCAAGAACAACTTTCATGTTGACAATCATTTGACTGATCCCAAGGTGGAGTGGTCTAAAGGGAAGGAAGGTGAGAAGTTCTTGTGGAGAAGAAGGATTTGCTCTGTGCTGTAAGTAAAGTGGTTACCTGTGGCACCTGGCACTACCCCTTGTCACAGCAGGAGTCTGGTCACTGGGGTGCAGCTCAGTGGGTGGCTGGCAATGTCTAGCTTCTTGCTACGGAGAAGAACCCGTCACCCACCACACACCACTCCAGCCCTGTGCACAGCTCTGACCAAGATTTCCACAGGTTTGGAGGAAGGTTAGTTCGTCTAGTTAATTCCAGCTCCAACCTTTGGTTTCCTCATTTGCTGTTTCTGTCCTGTACGACGGGGTCACAAATGTGGGAAGGAAGGGTGAGGCTGTGGGAGGGTTGTTTTGTTAGCTTTCCCACACCATCTCCTGGCTCCTCTGCCTGCATCCTTTTCTTGCCTTCTTCTCAGAAGTATCTCTCCCCCAGTTCCTCTTCTTCCTTCTTGTTCTCTGCCATCTGGGCTCTCACCACCCCTCAGGGTCACATCTACCACTACTGCAGCCTTGCCAAGTAAACTTTCCCTCTCTAAGAGGAATTTTGGTTCCTATTTGGTAATTATTAAGATATATTAAGCCAGCAATTAAGGTAATACCTTTTCCGTAAAAACTTATTACACGTATGATGCAGCCAAGTGCCTTTGGAGACAGCCTAGGTAAAAGAAAGATTAAAAGCAAATTAACCTCTCTTCTGATTCCTTTCGTCAACTGGACTTTTCTGTTTCTCTCTCTCTCTTTCCTTGCTCCCTCCCTCCCTCCCTCCTGTCCTTCCTTCCTTCTTTCCTTCCTTCCTTCCTTCCTTCCTTCCTTCTTTCCTTCCTCCCTCTCTCCCATCCTTCTTTCCTCCCTTCCTTCCTTCTTTCCTTCCTCCTCTTTCTCTCTCTCTTTCTTTTATAATTTGTTCTCAACCCTCAGACAGCCCAGAGGGTGGCAGCAGCTGGGAGCTGCTCCTGGAGCTGGGCTTCACCAGGTGAAGATATTGGGGTAGGGGGGCTGGTGTGGCACCTTCTGGTAACATCCTATCCGTCAGGACATCATTTACTATTTGATGCTGATAAACGTTAACTGTGGCTTCCTGATGGCCGTGGGCTCCAGGCGTGACCCGAGAAGGTATTTGAAGATGAGCAGAGTCTCTGTTGTCCGGAGATTGACGTCTGACTCTGAGGCTCGTAATTAAGCACAGAGATTAGCAGCCACGTATTTGGGGGAGGCTTTGGCCTTTTTAAGATGTGTGTGCAGCCTGTGTTTTATTTTATTATTTTCTGTCTGGTTGACATGGGAACATTTCCTTTCCCCGCAGTGCTTCTGGTAAACAAATTTCGTGTTTAGTCTGTTAAGAAACGACACACATTGAATGTATTAAAGGAGAACTGTTGTCCTTGAGAGGGTGTTACTGCACATCTGGGGATAAGGATGAATTAATAGCGCTGGACAGCATCTTTAGTTACTCTGTCAGCCTCTAACCCTGGACAAAAGGCAGTTCTGCCAGGCACAGTAACCAGCCTGGTGTGTGTGAAATTGGCTCGGCTTATATTTATCCAAAGTCAGTGCAAAGGACCAAAGTGTGCAAAGTGTGTGTAGACATGAATTTCAGTGGTGGAAACAGAGGTGGCAGTTTTCGGAGGAGAAGCAGGGGCACAAACGCAGGGAAGAAGGCTGTCAGGTGCGGCTGTGTGCACGTCTTCCACCTCTCTGTGCTGAAGTGTCCCCTCGGGACACACTCAGCACCAGGACAAAGCACACCATCGTGTCCCAGGAGACCCCTTACGATCTGCAGGGGACCCTGAGCCTCTTTCCCCGGGCTCAGTCACTCCTCTTCCTTTAGAACTCCTCCTGTGCTAAGACACGCGCAGACACCGCTCATCCGACAGCTTGTAAGACTCTGCTGCCCTGGAGACAGTGACCCCCAGGCAGCCAGCGCATTGCTTTCTGGCCCGAGACTGGCGGTGGGTCTCTGCCCACCTTGGTCTCAGAAGTGTGTCATTACCTGCCGAATGAGAGCTGGCCACACTGCCCAGCCTCACGTGTAGATACTTGACCTACTATTTCTACATCTGGGCCATCTACCCGGAGTCCTGACAACTCAGCCGAGAGGCTCCAGCCCCCAGACCTCAGGGTTGGCGGCACTGGCCACGCTCTGTTCTGGTGAAGCAGATTTGCGGCGAGCCGGTCTCCTAGTGCTGCTTTTTTGTCATGATCTGTTTTGACCCAGATGCTGTGGCCGTTTATTAACAAAACTGACTTTTTAGCTCCAATCTTAACAAGCAAACAAACAAAAAACCTGAAAAACAAACAAAAGTCTTTTGGACATAAATGAGCTTTCTTTTTTTTAATTTTATTTATTTATTTTTCCCCCAAAGCCCCAGTAGACAGTTGTGTGTCATAGCTGCACATCCTTCTAGTTGCTGCATGTGGGACGTGGCCTCAGCATGGCCAGAGAAGCGGTGCGTCGGTGCGCACCCGGGATCCGAATCCGGGCCGCCAGCATCGGAGCGCACGCACTTAACCGCTAAGCCACGGGGCCGGCCCTAAATGAGCTTTCTAAATATGTAAATTGAAACCTTATCTGTGAGCGCAGACTCTTAGAGACAAAGGATCACAGAGGCTGACCCAGTTCCCTTCATAAGCGGGGACTTGGGCCCAGCAGGCTTAGCTGACCGTTCCAGGGCTGGAAACGTGTTATATACAAGGACACTGACTTGAATATAGGTCTTTGTTTTAATGCTTTTACAACTTCAGCACATTCTGCCCTACTGCTTGTCCAACAAAGGTTTCCTCTGGGCTTTGAGCTGATTTCAAGTCTTTAGGGGCCGGCCCGGTGGTGCAGCAGTTAAATGCGCGCGCTCCACTTCGGCGGCCCAGGGTTCGAGGTTCGGATCCGCTTGTCAGGCCATGCTGTGGCGTCGTCCCATATAAAGTGGAGGAAGATGGGCACGGACGTTAGCCCAGGGCCAGTCTTCCTCAGAAAAAAGAGGAGGATTGGCAATGGATGTTAGCTCAGGGCTGATCTTCCTCACTGAAAAAAAAAAGAAAAAAAAAATGTCTTTGAAAACGTGAAGATCACAAATAGTAGCGTTTCTTTTCATTTCCTGTTCAGGGAGCTGCCCTACCTGCTGTGCAGCAGATTCTATACCAGATTCATGGTCTCCAAGCCAGTGTGAGAACTGGTGTTCCGCCTCAAAAGAGCCCAGCAGACAGAGGTCGCTGGAGACAGACGCGCTCCAGGTGACACACAGGTCTAACAGGCACACGGTTCACTTTTCAGTTGTGATTTACTTCTGGACACATCTGAGGACCAGGGGTAGGCTGAGGCTAGGTGTTGTGAAGGTGATGAAGAAGAGAAGGTGTGTGGGAGAAGAACTGAATCAGGGCAGGGTGGGTAGCCCAGCCCATCATAAGGCTCCTGGGCGAGTTTCCGCAATATCCCATTACTTAACAGTCAGGCAAAGTAAAGAGTTTCTGGAAACTCCATGGATATACCTTCTGGGAACAAGGAGATAGAATTGATATGGAATATCAGGGACTGGACTTATTTTATTTTCTTAGTTTAAATTTTTTGTTTGTTTTGGCAAATGTATAGACCTGTGTAATCACACTTACAATCAATATGCAGAGTATTTTTATTAACCCATATAATTCCCTCATATTCTCTTGCAGTCAAGTCCTTCTTTCCTTCCTCCTCTGCTCAGAGTCTGCTCTGATGTCTTCACCATAGCCGAGATCTACCTGTTCTTGAACGTCACATAAGTGGAATCATATAGCGATCACTCTTTTAAATATGGCTTATTTCACTCAATATAGTGTTTTTTGAGATTCGTTCATATTGATAGATTTACCAGTAGTTTGAGGCACTTGGGCTTTATGATTTAAACAATTAAATTGCCATAAAAACACATGCTTTACAATGCTACTTGTAGGTATAAAACACAAAATGTGCAAACTTTCATGGGTGAAAGTACCTGTCCCTCTAATCTTTTAAAAATAATTCGCATTTTAAAAGCCTCTTGCATTTCTTCCATCCAACATCCAATGTATCATTTTAGAAAGATAAGAAGTTGGAAACATCCCTCAGACAAGTGACACCTTAGTAGAATGGAAGCTCCTTGAGGACGGGGCTCTGCTTATTCAGGTCACTGAGGTTCTCATGGTCCTAGGACGGGGCCTGGGCAGAGCAGGGGCCCAGTGGATAATTGTGGAATGATGAACATCAGGAAAGGAAGTTCTGTCATTGATCTTTTTCGTTTTCAGATCCTCAGCTCTGGGGACTCGGCCACTAACCCCTATGTCGCTGTGAACATCTTGATTGCAGTGGGCGCCATCATCATGATTCTGGGGTTCCTGGGGTGCTGCGGTGCCATGAAGGAAAGCCGCTGCATGCTTCTCCTGGTGAGTTCTCCAGACAAACCCCAGCTCCTGCTGCAGAGGCCTGGGGACCATCTCCCACCTCCGTCGCCAGTCACAGGACTCACCAAGACTGATGGAACTCTGACTCGGACTTCTGTTCAGAGGGTTCGATGGTGGAAGCTAGGGTTCGCTGGTGTTTAGCTTAGGTTAGAGGACACCCTGAGAGAAGACAAATTTTAGTCACTCATTCACTCATTCTTACTGAGTACCTGCTGTGTGCCAGGTACTCAATACCTGTGCTACATGATACATGGGCACGAACACAACAGAACTCGGGAGGGAAGGCTGACAAGTAAACGTCAGCTGCAGGGGCATGGCCCGAGAAGAGAAGGCACTGAGAGAGGAGGGGACTCTCAAGCCAGAAGCAGAAGTGAATACGGTGCTGTTACCGGTGAGGGTGGGATGAGCTTTCCAGGGGAGAGCTTCCTGTGGTACAGACCTGGCACGTCTGGGGAACTCGGGGCTGTGGGCGTGGTTGGAGGTGGCAGAGGCTGTTTTCAGTAAATGACGGGAGATGGGTCTCAGTGTCGACTACGGTCAGATGACACTCCACACTGAGAAAGTTGTCAGGGAGTGAGATACTCAGGTCTGTCACTCAGAAAGCTCTGAGGAGGACGGATCGGGTTGCGATAACCCACAGACACTCACTTTTAATGTATTCATTAGAAAATAATAAGTGGATATAGAAAAAATATTAGAAAATCATCAAGTATTTATTAGCTATAAACCTGCTGTAGGAGTTCATCAGAGTCCCTCTACACTTGTTTCTCTAGTGAAATCAGTGTTGGGTCAGTCCCCCAGAAGACATCTTTAACTGTCCATTTATTACGAGGGGAGGTAGAGATGGTCTTAGTGGGACGGTAAGAGCATCCCTGGGGGCTGCTCCTTGATTAATGAGGCCTCATTCGCAACTTGGGAAATTTAATTACTAGAGGAGCTTATGTTAAAAAAACACTAATTTGTGGCTGTGCTCCCCCAACTTCTGCTTCAGTGGGTCTGAGGTGGGCTTCAGGAATCTGTACTCATAACAAGACCCCAGGTGGTTCTGATAGTGGTGAACGTTGTTTTGAAGTCAGTTCTGAAGCTTGTTTTGATGTTTGATGAAGAAAGAGAAGGAGAAAGATGGTATTCAAGTGATGTCATCTAAGTTTTCAAACTTCCCTCCATTCAACATCACACCAACGCCCACAAACCCATCAATAAATTCTCGTTTTCACCGCTTTCCTTGGTCAGTCTTTGCAGCAAATGTTTCTGAGCAGTAATGCCCCCAAAATTTGCTTCTTGAGGCAAAGGATGGGGTAAATGAAGAGGGTGGCTAATACCCCAACTGTGCTAAGGTCCTGACTGCTCCTGCCCTAATGTGCCAAGACATCACTGAATGCACCGGGGATGGTTTATGTATCATAAAGAAACGTGAAATAGATTCCCTTTCTTCTCTTCAGTTCTTCATAGGCTTGCTTCTGATCCTGCTCCTGCAGGTGGCCGCGGGGATCCTAGGGGCTGCTTTCAAATCTCAGGTGTGTACACATATTATATTTGATAATTTTGGAAAAGTCTGAACAATCGAAATGCGACCTTCTGGAATGAATAATTTAACAATACTTTTCAATTTCCAGACTGAGCGCGTTCTGAATGAGACTCTCTATGAAAATGTAAAGCTTCTGAGCACAGCAGGTGAAAATGGAAAGGCATTCCAGACAGCCCTGTCTGAATTTCAAGAAGAGGTAATTAGTTATTCTGTGTTTACTTAATTTTTTTTTCTTTTGTGCTGAGGAAGATTCGCCCTGAGCTAACATCCACTGCCAATCTTCCTCTTTTTGTACATGAGTCACCACCACAGCATGGCCACTGACAGACAAGTGGTGTAGGTCCACACCATGAACCAAACCCGGGCCACCAAAGTGGAGTGAGCTGAACTTAACCACTAGGCCACCGGGGCTGGCCCCATGTGTACATAATTTTTAACAGGTGTATTCTTTTTTTTTTTTATTTAAAAAATATATATATTTTTTGAGGGAGATTGGCCCTGAGATAACATCTGTTGCCAATCTTCCTCCTTTTTCCTTTTTTCTCCCCCAAACCCCAGTAGATAATTGTATTTCATAGTTGTACATCTTTCTACTTGCTCTATGTGGGACGCCACCTCAGCATGGCTTGATGAGCAGAGAGTAGGCCTGCGCCGGGGATCTGAACCGGTGGACCTGAAGCAGAGTGCTGGAACTTAACCGCTATGCCACCAGGCTGGCCCCTTAACAGGTGTATTCTTTAAAGATTGAAAGATGTCTCCATTTTGCAGGTTTTGACTAATTATTCCATCACCATGCAATGAGAAAAATCCAAGAAGATTTCTAATTTTTTTTCCAGCTTATTTGGAGGTTCTGAAGTAGTTTAGAAGGACAGAGATTAAGAAAGTATGTTTATGACAGATTAAGCCTTGATTGGGCCAAATTGATAACTGTTTTAATATTTGCCATTTGGAAGGATGGTGTGTTTGGGGAGTCTCTCTCTCTCTCTCTGCCTTTGTGCCCACCCCTCTCTTGTAAAACTGACATTTTTTAGAGCTGACATTTAGAGCTGACATTTACTGCCACTTACCATGTACCAGGCTTTACATTCAGTGGTTCCTTGAATTCTCACGACAACTCCATGTGATGAATAATATTATCCTCGTTATTCCCACTTGACAGATGAGATTAGGGCTTAGAGAAATCTGGCAGCTAACAAGTGATGGGGTTGGAATTTGAACCCAGATCTGTCTGACTAGTCAATTCTTTTTAATCTGTACACTAGCCCCTCCCTTATTTATTTATTCATTTGTTTATTTTGGCTGCTTCACTGTCTTTAGGGTAAAGTAAAAACTGGGGAGGCACTGGAGGTGTTCTCTATCTGGCTCCTCCCTAACATCTGAACCATACTGATCACTGCTCCCTAAAGAAAACCCCCTGTCAGCCAGAGTTGTCTACTCAGGGACCCTTAGCAAGTCTGCCTTCCTGCCTTTGCATCAGTCCCCATCAATGTACTTACTACTTTTCTCTTTCTTTCCAAGTACTACATGTTCTTTGAAGCTTGACTCAAATATGACTTACTCTGTGAAACTCCTCCTCACCACACCTTCTTAATTCAGAATTCCCATCAGAGTAACTATATGTAGCATTCATTTCACATATGTCATAGAAATTCTCAGTATCTTAGAGGAGAGCTGGGTTTCATAGGACATTTAACCGGACTTCTCATTGATTGAAGTATTTTATATTTATGTGCATCCACTCTCTAATTAAATATTGAAGAGCTGAAAGTTTACCAATTTTTGCCTGTCCCTTCCCATTTATACCTAAGTCCGATGATTAGTGTGTTCTTTCTTAATGTGAAACAAAATCTGCCTCCCTAGAATTTACGTCCTTTAGTCCTAGTTCTTCTTTCCGGAGTTTCAGAGGAAAAAGAAAATCTACTGATGCTTCTACACATTCCAACTTTTTCTTTGAAAATGGCTATCATGTGACTTCTAAAAGCTTTGTTTTTCAAGCGGAAGCACCCTTGGTTTCTGAGCTCTCAGATGACATTTTCTCCAGAGCATTCCACAGTTCCTGTTTGGATAGACTCCAGTTTGTAACATTTCTGCTTAAAGCATCATTTCCAAGAGCCAAAACCCAATATGTCAGTCCCCGTTTTCCCTGCCCTTGTTGTGCTGTCCCAGCTCCCCTACAGCTGCAGCCCCTGACCCTCCCTCCACAGACCTTCCCCCTCTAGAGCCCAGGTCAATCCAGGCTTCAAGCAGGAAGAATTTAGACAGCTCAGCTCCTCCACTGGGTGGACAGAGCATCCTTGGTCCTCCCTGTAGAGGACTGAGATGTGCACAGGTGACCACTGGGTCTCTGGCCTGGGTCACACTTGCCGTACATTGTCCCTGGTATTCCAGGTCTCAGCACCAACCATGCGGGTCTAAAGTTCCTGTTGGTTGTAGCGCAATTCTGAATTACTTCCGTTCTCGTACACAAACCCTGTGTCTGAAGCTCTTTGTGTTCATAGGACTATATATAGTTCTTTTCTATTGTCAATTCTGAGGTTTTTTTTTTCTTATCCACCAAGGACTTCTTTTTTTAGTAATGTTTTTTGGAGAAAGACTCCTACCCCAAACCCTGGCTGGGTGACCGGAGCCCTCCCCACATGGACAGAGGTCGTAGATACTAAGTGGCTTTCTCTTGGAGTGTGCCCCTCTGGGGTTCGTGGTGGTGACTATTTGTCTAGAGGTCATTGCATCATTCACTGCACTGTGCCTTTGTCATCTGCTGTTCTAACACTCTCAACAAGTCCTGGCCAACCTCTTCCCCAGCTGCTCCCACATCTCATCTGGTGACAGATATCAGGCCATGTTTAGCCTCCCTACTCTGTCTTCTGTAAGTACGTCTTTGGGCTTCCAAAAGGAATCCCAGGGTAGATTGTATTCCCATATGGACTGATCCATGAGTGCATATGGTAGGACTTACATTCTTTTTGGTCTGGAGTGTCTGCATCAATATTATTCAAGATTGTTTAATCAGAAAGAGTGAGCAATTAATCATGTCTACCATGGAACAGGGAAGTAGGTTGTTTCAAGATTTCCCTCTTTGCTAATATTGATTGACCTTGGGACCAACTGAAATCCCCAGCTCTTTGTCCCATGAATGTCTAGTGAGTCATAAATTTGTGCAATTAAGTCTTCAAGCCAAAGTGCAAGACTTTATGTCCTTATGTCTCCCTCAGTAGAACTTGGTTTAAGTCCATTGTGTGAACTATCTTTGGAACTCGATTCTGTTCTCCAATGTATTAATCATCACTCCCACCTCTAGAGCAATGGCAGAGTTGCCAAGAGTTTTGTATCTTTATCTAAATCATCAATATCAATGTTGAACAGACCACGTTCATGTGAGAGCTTAATGGAAACGACAACCACCACAAAACAAAGAGGACAGCGGTAATAGCTAATTCATATCGAGTGCTTTCTGCAAGCCAGGCACTGGGCCAGCACTTCACAGTGGGTTTTCTCATGTTTATCTCTACAACAAATCTACGAGTTATAATCTATCATTAGCAACTATTATTATCTGTATTTTACAGATGAAGAAACTGTGGCACAGAGAGATTTGAGTGATGAGGGTAACATGGTCACACAGCCAGTAAGGGAAAGTTCTTTCACCATCCTGGTGTGGCGGTGCATCTGAGCTAGAAAACCGCCCCATCTTGGTTCTATTTTCATCAGAAATTTTTTTTTCTTCCCTGCTGCATGAAGAGTTTTCTCCCTAAAAGAGGAAATAGGACAAGATGAGGGATAATTGCTTCTCTCTTTCATCTAAATAATATTATGTGCCATCTACCCTGAGTCATTGCTCTTATCACTTCCTTGTTTTTCTTCCCCAACCATGACCACAAATTCAATCTCTCGGGGGTCCCACTAAGCATCTTCTGTGCCCTCTGAGATGCCTCACATCCTCTTGCTCCTCTCCTCCAAAAGTGATCAAAGATCATGAGATGGAAATTTCATTTTTAAAACCTCTCATCTCTTTTGAGCAAAAGTTCTTCAAAGAGACCTTGACTCTCTCATGGACTCTTTGGAAGCTTCTTTCCTAAAATCTAGGCTGCGTAGGTCAGATTCTGCCCTCTCTTTTGTCATTAAAAACCTAAAGTTGAGTTTTTCATCTTCTCTCCAATTTTCTCAGACTTTTGCATCTGCAACCCTATTTTTCCTTCATCAATATTAAGACCAAAATGGAAGATCCTTTCATTTTTGCTTCCACATTCAGAGAGGTGGGTGAAGAGATTTACATGATATTTTAGTATAAGAAACATCTTAATAATGGTTTCAGAAGAATATGAGTCAATGTGTTGACAATGTTTTTATCTTCTTTAGTGACTGCTTTTCATATCTACTTTTCATCAAACAGTTTAAATGCTGTGGTTTGGTCAATGGAGCTGCTGATTGGGGAAATAATTTTCAACAATATTACAAGTCATGTGAATGTCCAGAGAAGTCAGATTCGCCCTGTGTAACTTATGATAATAAATCCATTTACAAACAGGTGAGAACTAAGGCAAATTTGTCACAGTAAGTAGTTCTGTTCATTTCTTTTCATACTGAAAACCTCTACAAAAAATTAGATTGCAGCATTACAATGGGAATCATGACATAAAGTCCCAGGAATTTCCCAAATAAAAAAGAAATCCTTATTTAAAGATAAAAGCAGATATAAAAAAAACAAAGTATTTCATTCCTTCTGTGAGTCTGGCATCATTTAAACTCAACGTTAATAGATCAAAGAAACATTCTACCTCAAGGGGAGGCAAAGTACAGGCTAGCAGATAAAAGCTTATTTTGTCCTCTCTTTGGTGACTTGAATTGTTATTCTCCTCTGTTTTTTCTATTTTAACTTAAGTTCTAGAAATCTATATTTTCACAGCAAAGCTTTCTCTTCCTATTAGAAGTTTCCTTTTCTCAAGTAATTGTATAGGGATAAAGAAAGTACTTGGTCTTTTGGGGTTTAGGCTCCGGATGTTAAGTGTACCTACCAATCTGCCTAATTATTGCTGCAATTGAGGAGTTGAGAATTCAGATATTTAAAGTCAATTGAAAGAGCTTGGTTTATCTTTTACGTGTTGTAGATGTCATATTTGCATCACTTGTGGATGTCAGTAGGTGGATGTCATATTTCTTATTATTGCTTAATTCATCAAATATTTATTGACCACCCACTACATGCCAGGCCTCCCAGCGCCACTCGCCATCCCTTTCTGAACAGGGCACAGAGTCTGCAGGCATGAGCTGAGGTGCAAATGGGGAAGAGAGAAAGATAATTGGGCAACTTCAGTCCAGTGAACTCTCAGTATTTCTTGGACAGGGGAGGACAAGGTGTCATGGGACCCATCTAACCCCATGTCAGGGGGTCAGATATGGCTTCCTAGGGGAGCCGATAGCTGATCCTTACCACAGGGCTCCACATAACTGGTTCCTTCTGCCTGGAAGAAATGTATACAAAAGTGACAATTAATATCAATGTTTAATTACTTGCCGTTATTCTTCAGGGCCTACTGTGTGTCAGACAGACCCTTGCTGGAATCAGACATGTTCTGGACTTTGAGGAGATTATAGTCTCCTGGGGAGAGAGATCCATAAAAGCAGTTATAATGCAATGGATTAATTTTTGTAATTCCTGAAGATTATTTTAACCCTCACATTGGTTTAGTAATGGCTATTGAGGTTAATGACATTTCAGGAAAAAAGAATTATCTCAGGGATACATTTCTCCTGCTGACTAGCACATCCTGTGCCTTAATCTCATCAAGGGTTTAGGGCCTGTTCTGAGGGGCGCTGCTGTTACTGGTTTTTAAAGTAACTCTCGGGGGAGAAGTTGTCTCCCGATTCAGAGCTGCCTCGACTTTTCATCGTCAAAGTAACATCGCTAACAAGTTTTATTCTCACTGTTTGTATTCCTCCCTGCTCCCCTCCTGCCTGCCTAATTTTAGACACAGTATCTACAAGGAAGAGGGGAAATAATGTGGTGCAAATGAATGTAGTTTCCACTCAGGATAATGAGGACATTAGTAAATTTGAATGCAGATTGCTGCCTCCTGTGAAAGATTCAACTGAAAGATCTTTTTGCTCAGGATAGATTTTGAAAAGCCCCAGCATTATCCTAAAAAATAAGAGAAAGTCCCTCTAAATTCACACATAATTCAGCTGAATATAGGTGGATAGCCACACCGGTTTCCCAAAAGGAAGGTTATAAATTCATAAAATACTTCCATCTGCCTTGTGTCATTTGGAAGAAGTCTGGAAAAATAAGAAATCTGGAATGGCCATAATTCACGTTTCTTTATTTTCCCCTCCCTTTTGCCAAGATAACCTGGTTATCTAGAGGGGACGGGCCAGAAAACTCCTCAAATATAATGAACGTGACTCAGTAGATATGATCATTAATCTCACAGTTAACCCCAAATGACATAATAATTTCCTGTAATGTTCACCACTTTGGACCAGACGAGAATGGAGAAACCCATTATGCTCAGGAATGAAGAGGAAAAGACTGTCTTACTCAGCCTTGTGGAAAACTTTTACTTAACAAATAGCAATATTTTGTTGGCCCTTTGTGCATGTAAGACTCTCATAGGAATGATATATTTTCTGGCAATACAGTCAATACCACTATTTCATTGTGTAGTATTTTTCCATTTTTAAAATTATTCATATAACTTACAATTGTTGGAATTTTTAGGTCTGGTCTGAAAAGTTTTAACCTTGGAATTGCATGCTGGTTTGGATAAATTTCAAAAAATGTGGCAGAGAGTCAGTTTTCTAAATTCTCTTTTTTATATAAAGTAAGGGCATAATAGTGGATGTAATGTTTTTTTTCTTTTCAAGGTAAAAATAACCTTGATAAATATTGTTAAGGGATTTTCAAAAAACCTTGTTTTAAAAATGAAAACTTGCACTAATTAGCTGGAATCCAAACTAGGGAACTCTCTGCTGCAGATTATAGACCTAAATAACACACAGTCAAGGTGATAACTCTGAAATGAATGACTGGAAGTCAGGATAAAATTATTACTTGTAACTAAAGATCCTTACATTCAGCAATTAGGTAGTTGAAGCAAAATTTTGCTCCTCAAACGCTTTCTAACATATGAACAAACTGCAACAATTACAACCTTTTTGGGGGAAGATCATGGAGTGGTGGGAATAATCAAATTCCTTTTTGTTGAGTGTGTTCAACGTAAAAAGTTAACTCAATGAAAAAAAGAAAACTCCATTAAAATAAGGTAAATATTTGATTAAAGATAACTTTTTATGTTTTGTTTTTTTAACAGCCATGCATTTCCTTGATAAAAGACTTAGTTGCAAAACATATTCTCGTGGTTATTGGAATCGCGTTTGGACTGGCAGTTATTGAGGTACAGTATAATCTTGCATTATTGACTCTTCATTTGTTTCCTTGTTGGTTCATTAATTCTTCTAGCAAATATTTACAGTGAGCCAAATAAAAACCAGGCACGTCAGGAAAGTGCTGGGCAGCCAACACTCCCACACGTGCACCCAGCAGCACCTATCCTCACCCAGCACTCCACTATCTGCACCCAGCATCCCCTACCTGCGCCGAGCACTCCACTATCTGCAACCAGCACCCCCTACTTGTGCCGAGCACTCCACTATCTGCACCCAGCACCCCCTACTTGTGCCGAGCACTCCACTGTCCGCACCCAGCACCCCCTACCTGTGCTGAGCACTCCACTATCTGCACCCAGCACCCCCTACCTGTGCCGAGCACTCCACTGTCTGCACCCAGCACCCTCTACCTGCACCAAGTACTCCACTGTCTGCACCCAGCATCCCCTACCTGTGCCGAGCACTCCCCTATCTCCACCCAGCACCCCCATCTGCACTCAGCGCACCCCTGTCTGTGCCCAGCCCCCACATCTCTGCCCAGTGCCCCCTATTTGCACCCAGCATTCCCTATCCACCTTGGGTCTGGGGAGGGGGTTACAGTCATATGAACCGAGCAGTCTGAGGCTGTTATTTCTGAATGATCTCTCTACTGGGAAACAAAAATGGAATTAATTTCCACACAGTTCTTAGTCCCAGATATTCCTTCCCATTTAAAACCAGCGCAAGAGTTAAAGTTTCCTGAAGTTGAAAGAAAAAGCACCAGACAAGCCCAAACACAACCTTCACCATTTTTTGTCTCTCTTCCTGATTTTGAAATAGAAAATAAAAGCCGAACGCAGGAGTATGAGGCTATTTCATTCTAGAAAAATCCAACAGATTCTAAAGACAAGGGAGAGTTGACTCTGTTTCCTCGCTGTCAGGATACAGGCTCACATGGGGAAGCTTTTAGAGAAGCTTGAGGTTTATGCGTTCACTCTCATCAACTTGATTATTGACGTTGAAAAAACATCCACTATAGAGCTTTATATCTTGGCATGATTTTTTTTTTTAGGAACCTGAAGGATATTTTTTACGTGGCCCCAAATTCTTTGCCAAAAAGGCAAAATAAAACTACTCAGAGGAACACTTTTGGAGTCATCCTAGATCTTGGTTAATTTAGATATCAAGTGAGTCGAATCCACGCACGCTCCCACTTCAGGGCATTGGCAAGAATCCTCCCGACGTGCGAGGTGCCTCTCTGGTCAGTGCCTCCGAGGCTGGTTGTCTTCTGCCTTCCTCGCACGATGCTGCACAACTGCCTCCCTGGGATTTCTGGCAGCGTTCCACATCCTGTTAGGGCCACATCACTGCCACAGAGGAATTTTAGCTGGAATAGAAGCCATTTAGTGTTCTCAGTGGTCATTTAGGCTCCTGGTGGAATTTCCCAGCCCACCATTTGAGAAAGGGTGAGCACTGTGAGCAGCCAATTGGGCTGCTGAGCGGTACCTCCTTGTAGCCCAAATGAACAGACTAAAAATGCAGCATTCTCTGTTGGTGGATGTGGCTGTTTTCCTTTATGTCTGATATAAGATCAGAGTCAAATGGTGCTGCGCAGTGGGTCTATTTCTCTTGATTCTGCCTTTTGTAAAATGTCCTTTATTTCTCTGCTTTGTATTCTGGGTTCATCCTAATTTAGAAATATGAGCTAGAGGCCCTAGAGGTGAGTGAGGAATCCCACATGTGTACACTCAGACATTTATCAACATAAAACACACACACACACATGTATATGTTGGCAGAACAGACTTGAAATGAATGATTGAAAAGCAGGCTTTAAATGAGGTAGTCAATGTAAGTGTCAAATTCCATGTTAGACTCAAATCCAGACAATTGACTATGACTGGCTACAACCCACAGATGCTCTAAAGAAGCTTCTCAAAAGCAAAGCCAGAGAAAATAAGGATGTAGTCAACTGGGAAGATTGGGCATCTCTTATGTCAGAACCAAATTGCCAAGGATCTAAATATCTCTAATGGAAAATAAGCTTACAAGAGGAACAGCATTTCAGTATGTTATAAAACTGGTGTGCTCCGCGAGTTTGTTACATATTTAGATATTTTATTGGTTGTTCTAAAGATATGTATAGGGAAATATCTTAATAGAAATCTTCCATAGAGTAATTTATAGGAATGGAATTTGTATGGTAATATCATAAAATGTAACCATTTTTTGAGTTGTGTCAGTTAAATTAATAGACTGTAGGTAGATATGATAGATTTGGTTTAAAGAACTGTTTGAAAATTTTGTTCACTTCCTCAATCTAAAACCTGCCCTCCCTCTAGGATTTGAAGAGAAAAAAAGTCATTTTATATTCCCTCTCTTTTTATTCAAAAAGGAGCTTTGAAAATAGTCTCCCGGTATCCTGTCTATAAAAATATATCCAGTAAGCGTACACTTGTCTGTCTTACCGGCAACAGTACTAGCTGCCTAACCCACAGGCGTCTCCCTTCTCCGTTCACCAAGTTCAAATTCAAGAAAACACAAAGGTACCTAGAAAGAAAAACCCCTGCAATAAATATTTTCAAGAAGGAAACAGAAGCAAATATCTCTCTGCAGCAAATATATTCAAACTATCTCCACAGAAAAATACTGCATGAAAAAGCCCACCCTCCCACATTTAGCCCCTTGGCGTTGGTCCATTAGGTGAGCCTCTGATGGAGGAGCCAGAGGTTATTTCCCAGGCTCTGTTAAGACCACATCCCTGAGGGGTTCTTCTCGATAGGATGCTGGAAATCTATGCAAAATGCTTTATTTTGTAAGAAAATTTTATCTGTAGACATTGGAATTCTCATTATTCTGAGTTAATTAATTAGACTCTCATCTCTCTCCTTATTTGACTACAGCAAATTACAAGCACAAAAAAATGGCCAGGACTTTCTCTCCTCACTTTAGTTAAGAAAAAAAGCCAGTGGCACTAATAGTCATCACTTCGTAGGATAAAAGTCATCCTGATGGCAGCCCAGGAGTAGAGCAGATGAAAGAGAGAAGTGATGATTTTACAACGCTTTTCAAAATATGGGACCTCGTGCTCATGACTCAGCAAGTTTATCCTGAGTCTCGGCATTGGCACGTGGTGAATCTCTTTTAATTATTGCCTATTTTTATGAAGAATGAGAAATTTTCTTTTCAGAGGGAAAGAAATGCAAGGAAGTGTGACATGAGCTGTCTGGTCTGCTGATGGGGGGGCTTCTGTTTCAAAGGGGGGACAGTGAAAGAGGATGGTTGCCTTGTCCAAGTATTTGGCCCATTTTCTTACTTCTTTCTTCATACTCATCTCCCAGACTTAAGGGAAAAAGACAATTTCAGTCCTGACTTTTAGAACATTGTGAATGAAAATCATTATTTTTGCAGAGAATTGCTGTCTACTTTTTTTTAAGGAGGAAGAAATATAGGGCAGTAGTTCTCCCCTGAGAAGTGTTCCCAGGAGAGAATGAGTAAGCAGGACTCAGGACAGGGGAGCCCTGGCGTGACTCGACATAGACAGCACCTCGCCCTCCTCCTGTCCCCTCAAGGAGGCTGGTGGGGAGGAAACTTTCCATCTGACACACAGTCCCTGCTGTCATTTCTACATCAGGGCCACAGCACACACGTCACCAACTGCAGCGCCAATTAGGGCAAGTTTTGGGTCCCTCATTCTTGGGAGAGGCACTTAATAAGATGGAAATTATAGCCCAGATTTTCAGCTGTGATTTTTCATTTCAAAGGAAATTCCTGAATTAAGCTATTCCCCATAGATTTAGAAGCTTTTTTAAAAAATTTACTTTCTTTCATTTCTGTTGGCAATGCCTAAAAATACGGCAAGAGAAATTCTAGATTCCTTGACTTTTATGCAGATGATCTAAACCAGATGGTCATAACGCTTTTATGGAACCAATAGGTATATTCAGCCTCCAGAGGCCAGAGGCCTGGGTTCCCCAGAGCTGCAGGGCCATGCACCCTCCAGAAAGGTGTATTGTCGGAGAGGCAGGATGCTCTGGTGGCAGCCGCTATGGTGCGATCCAATAGGGCGGGTTAGAGGCAGACTGGTCAGCTGAAAACCCTGATTAAAACACAAAATACTCAGAGAGCTTTCTCAGTGCTGTTTTGTCCCATTGGAGTCTCATTTCCCGAGAAGAGAGGTGACTTAGAAAAATAGGATCAGAGCTATCAGTACCCAGAATCTTTTCATCACAAGTAATGTTCTCTCTGTCTATTTATAATGTCCCAGCATTTTCCCTTAAATTCCATGTTAATCCTGTGATTTTATTTTCCAGATACTTGGTCTGGTATTTTCCATGGTCTTGTACTGCCAGATCGGGAACAAATGAACCCATAGATGTGCCGAGCTACCATCAGTCAAACTCCTTTAAAGTCTTGCTTTGGCTTTGTGACTTCAAATATTTGAGTGCTGTGTGTTACGAGCAGCTGTCCTACTAAAATGTCTCATTTAGCTGGACCACAGATATCTTCCAGACATATTGAACATATTTAAGATTTGAGTGACACAAGGAAAATGATATGAATGTGCATTTTCACTGAAAATAAAACTAACGTTGTTTACATGGGTGCTTTTTTGTGTCTGATTGTCGTGTTCAGGTGGTGCTGTGCTTAAAATGCCCCTCTGGAGCCACCCAGTGGGATGATCTTCGTCTCTAAGTGACAGGGCTGCCGTTAGTTAGGGCAGTGAATCTGGGCTTTTCAGAAGCGGCACTGTCTTCCATGTGGTGTGTCCACCGTTGGGGATGATCAAATTAGGTCTCAAGCTGACAGACTGAGAGTGATCCAGATAAAACAGTCGCCGTCTCTTCCATCTCTATGCCAAAGTCTACTGCTGGTTTCTCTTTTCTCTCTGTTGACTGTGGCACAAGAAGATCCGAGCGCTGTCTTTCCAGCCGCAGAATCTCTGGTACCGTCTGGATCATCTTCTGGAACACAGTTATGACTGCTTTTATCTTTCTAGTCCTCACAGACATGTTACATTTTACTTACTATTGAGATATAATATACCCACCATAAAGTGAACAAATCTTGAGTATACGCCTGTGTAAGCACTATCCAGATCAAGACACGGAACATTTCCCGCACACGGGAACGCCCCGCCTGCCCCCTCCCGGTGCGAGGAGGGCCGGCTCACAGTGACTCGCCGGGGCAGGCTGTCCACGTGCACACCTCCTCTCAGCTCTGCACTCAGTGACGTCACACTGGCAGCTTGAAATCCACGACGGCGGGAGTATTTTCAACACGGAAATTGGCAAATGCTACAATCAGGGATTTTTTCTTATTTTGAGAGCTAGTTGTTAAACATCTACCAGTACCCCGCTGCCCTTAGCAGCAAATGCCTCCCCAAAGGTAACCACTCTTCTGATTTCTATGACCATAGATTCATCTTGCCTGTTCTGAACTTTCTATAAATGGAATAGTAAAGTATGTTCTGGCTTCTTTTTCTCAACATTTTGTTTATGAGATTCATCTACATTGTTGTGTGCAACTGTAGTTTATTCTCACTGCTACATAGTATCCACTGTACATGATTATACTGCACAGTGTGCTTACCCATCCTCCTGTCGATGGGCGTGGGGTTTGCTTCCAGTCTGGCGCTGGTTTGAACAGAGTTGCTGTACTCTTTTGGGACATGCAGGTACTGATTTCTGGGTAGATATGCAGGAGTGGATTGCTTTGTATACATATATTTAGATTTAATAGAGTCTGTCAAGACATTTTCTAAAGTGGTTGTACTAATCTATACTCATTCTAGAAAGTGTAATAGACTCAACCTGCTCTTCTGAGGTGGAGGACGAGGAAGGAAGGCAGTTATTATCTAGTCGATCAGAGTGGCAAGGAGTGGGAACATGGGGGGCCTTGGGCTAGTTGGGCAACCTCATTCTGTGCTCCCCTATTGAAGATAAAGACGCCTATCCTTGTCCTAGGAGCTCTTCCAGAAACTGTGCTTTTATTATCTCATTTCTTCTCACCACATCCTTATGGGCAGACACTATTGGTAGACCATTTCCTCCCAAGCCCTGGCCGTGGATCCTGCTGTCTTTGGCTTTCCTATAGGACGTCTATTAAGAAATCTACCCTATTTTATCATAATTGCCTGTTCATGTGTTCGCCTCTTCATACACTGAGACTCCTCAAAGGCATCAATTTTTTCTTGTCTGCACGTCCCCAGTACCTACCGAAGTGCTTGATGCACAATAGGTGTTCAATAAATTGTAGCTAAAAATGATACTTAGATTTACTGAGAACTTCTTATGAGCCAAAAATATTCTAAACACTTTACATAGAGCTACTTATTGAACCCAGAACCACCCTCTAGGTTAGTACTGTTATTAGACCCATTTTACAGAGGAGGAAACTGGGATCTAATGACATAAATGCCGTTTCTTAGGTCACACAGTCAGTCGGTGGAGGGGTTGTGATTCAATCTCAGTGACTCAACACCTGTGCTCCTTAAGTCGTATCCTTGCCCTGCCCTACAGTGCTGTTGGGAGAAATAGACAAGGAAGTGAATATGGAAGTGCTTTTTCCTAGTGTCAGGCACTATGTAGGATATTTTGTGGTAAAATCAATGATGTAAGGACTATGTCCGTCAGGGCAGGCAGGAAAACAAAACTCTCTGGTTGTTCCAAACAATGGGAACATAACACAGGGAATTGCCATCTTTGTTGGCTCAGGCAGCCATAACAAAATGCCAGACTGGGTGGCTTAAACAACAGAAATTTGCTTTCTCACAGTTCTGGAAGCTGGAAGTCCGAGATCAGGGTGCTGGCAGATTCAGCTCCTGGTGAGGGCTCTCTTCCTGGCTTGCAGATGGCCACCTTCTTGCTATGTCCTCAAATGGCAGGCAGAGGTGTCTCTTTGGTGTCTCCTCTTGTAAGGACATTAATCCTATCAGATCAGGGCTCCATCCTGATGACATCCTTTAACCTAAATTACTTCCTTACTCCAAATACAGCCACACTGAGGGTTAAGGCCCAAACATAGGAATTTTGGGGGGACACACTTCAGTCCCTAGCAACTGTTTACACAGGTGATGGAAGAAGCAAGAAGCCAAATGGGATGGCAAGCTAAACCAGGGGTTAGCAACAGTAGGAAGGTGCTACTGCCCTTGGTGGGGGGACGGAGAGGACATCTCCAGAGCCCAGGATCCAGAGCCATCTTGTGGGAGGTGGACCCAGGGCCGGACCACTGTCTGGCAGGAGTAGGAGCCGTGGGTGACCCAGCAGCTGCCAGAGCAGAGAAAGGGAGAAGTGCCGTGGTTTCTTCCCTCCTGCCCCTCTAACCCTCTGCCAGCACCTCCCCTTGGCTGGACTCCCCTGGAGGCTGGAAGACAAGGGAGCTTGGGAAACACAGTTTCCTTTGACACAAAGCCAAGCTGAGGAAGGTGAGACCTGGGTGGTGAGCCCGGGAAGATGTCACAGCCACCGGAGAGTGAGGAGCAGGAACACAGGTGAGGAAATTGTGGGAAGTATAACCGAGACTTAACATCTTCACGGGAAATTGTACAAAGTTGTCTGGGTTCTTTGTCTTTTGACTAAAATTCACAGCATTTTATGGATAGAGAGGACTTTATAGCAGTTGTTCCTAACTGGGGGCATTTGCCCCTCAGGGACATTTGGACATGTCTGGAGACATTTTGGGTTGTCACAACTCAGGGAGAAGGGGGTGTTACCGGCATCTGGAGGGCAGAGGCCGGGGCACTGCTAAACGTTTCACGATGCACAGGAACGTGCCCCATTACAAAGACTGTCCCACTCCAAATGCCCATAGTGCTTTGAGAAACCCCATTTAGGGACTCACGTCTGACCAGCAGAGCGACAGTCAGGTGCGGGTGACCCCGGAAAGTGAACTGACGGGAGTCCAGAGTCATCCAGACCTGCTCTGAGAGCCGGGGGCTTTGTGAACCTTCAAGTCACTTAACTTGAAGATTTCTCACCTGCAAATGAGAGATGTTATCTGGAAAAAGATGCTGACTTGCTCATGACAGCTCAGCGGGTTCTAATTTTGGTCTTTGGTGCTGATGGCAATTATGAGGGAAGATTTACTCTCTTGAGGATGTTAAAATCAGACTTAAGAATAAGCTTATACTTTACCTTCACACTTACCAGAACAATCCACAATATTCAAAGACATATTAAATTACCTAAGAATCGTAACAAGAACAAACTAAAGGAACTCTCACCAAACCTATAATTCAATGTGGATGGAAATTTTTTTCCAATTGAGAGAAATGTAGGAATCATCTTCATTATGTGTAAGACTGTACAGTTGCACTAATTGAGATGTAAGAAATTTATATTAAATCTTGGCAAATGCTTCTCAAACGTGTCCGCTTCTCTGCTTCCCTGCTGCTCCGTCCTCTCTGGTCTCTTGCAATCCCTCTTGAGTAGATGCGGTTAATGGTCTACTCAGTATCCTGTCTTTCTGTGTCTGCCTTACGGATAGATCCCTGATGTTGTTGGGGTACAATGAGCCCAACCGCAGCATTTTATGTCCGACAACCCAGTCGAGTGAAACTGCTCTTTCACACACCAGCAAACACATAAACGAAGGACACACATAATGAGTGTTTCTTGTCCTCCACAGCAGGTTGATCCCATTTTCAATTAATTTTGCAATAACATAAGAGCATCTTTTAAGCAACTGAATTTATTGGACCTCACTTAGGGCATTAAAGTAGAATTTTATCACATGTGATAAAAGAGACACTCCCCATCTGAGGCCTGTAATCCGAACTCGCCGAGTCACATAATCTGAACTATGAGCAGCTGAAGAAATGTAAACTCTTTTGTCCCCAGCCTGGGAAGGCGGCTGTGAGCTCTGCTCCGCACTAACACAGTGAGCCTGCGGGCAAAGGCAGGTGTTGTCCAGATTCCCCCGAGGTCAGCTTCTGGACTGTTTTTTCTCTGTCCTTGGACCAACACCACACTGTTGAGCTTTATGAGGCCTGATATAAAACAGAAAACACTCCCTCTCCCCGTTGCTCTTCGCCCTGCATTTCTGTAGAAATTTTAGAATCACCTTGCCAATTTCCACATGCACACGAAAAACACATGCACACACACACTCACATACACATACACACTCCTACTAGAATTTTTATTGAAATTGCTTGGAATCCATAGCTTACTTTGGGGAAAATTAACATTTTTACAATAACGAGTCTCTCTATCCATGGTATAGTTATCCACTCATTTAGATTCTCCTTAATTTCTTTTAATAATGTTTTAGAAATTTTCTGTTAGAAGTCTTTAAGTTATTCAAATTGATAAGCAAGTTTAGCAAAGTTGCTGGATTCAAGGTCAACACACGCAATTGTAATCCTATATACCAACTACAAACAATTACAAATGGGAATATTTTTTAAAGATATCATTTATAAAAGCATCATGAAATGTCAAATATCTAGCAATAAACCTAACGAATAATCGCAAGACTTCTAACAGAAAATTCATAAAATATTAAGAGAAATTAATGTATATAGAAATACAATTTTTGTTGATCTTGAATCCAGGAACCTTGCTAAACTTACTAATTTTAATAATTTACCTGTAGATTA